AATTTCTATTGAAATAAAATTCATTTGTTTAAATTATATGACAACGATATATTTATTAAAATTTTTAGATCTAATTTTGTAAATAGAATTCCAGGGAAAAAATAGAATAAGTGCAATGAACTGTGGATAACAAGGATGAACTCTAGTATCAAGATTAGAGGATACATGGAGCACAGAGCTGTAAGGATATCATACAGACAAAGAAAATGTTGAAATTAAAATAATAAGGGTAGCAATTTACAATAGCCAGAGTCTGAAAATAGCCCAAATGCCTATCAGCAGATGAATGGATTAAAAAGCTGTGGTACATTTACACCATGGAATACTATGCTGCAGTAACAAAGAAGAATCTCTTACTCTTTGGGACAGCATGGAGGTACCTGGAGAGTATTATGCTAAGTGAAATAAGCCAGTCAGAGAAAGACAAGAATTATATGATCTTACTCATATGTGAAATCTAAAGAACAAACTAAACTGATGAACAAAATAGATCCAGAGACACAGAAGCATGGAACAGACTGTTGAGTCTCAGAGGGAAGGTGGGGGTGGGTGAGAAGAGATTAACCTAAGAACTTATATACATACTAGAAGCCCAATGCACGGAATTCATGCAAGAGTAGGCCTTCCTTCCCCCAGCTGCCAGCACCAGCTTCCCTCTGGCACCCGGGACTTGGGCTTTCCTCTGGCCACCAGCAGGCACCCGGGACCCAGGCTTCCCTCGCAGCCCCGGCTTTGTCTGGAAGGTCATCTGGAAGGACGTCTGGTCTAATTAGCATATTATGCTTTTATTGTTGTAGATATGCATAACCCATGGACACAGACAATAGTGTGGTAAAGGCCTGGGGGAGGGGGCACAGGTGTGGGCTGGAAGGGGTTAATGGGGGACAAAAAGGACATCAGTAATATTTTTACAATAAAGATAAATTTAAAAAATAAAATAAAATAATAAGGGTAGTGAATGTTCAGATGTTAACATCTATACTAATAAATGGGTAGTATGTTAATTAGACTGGGTGTCTCCCGGACGACCACCTGGACATCCTTCCGGACAAAGCCACAGCAGCTGCCCGAGGCTCAGGCAAGCCACAGATGGCGCCTGTCGACTGCTGGTGCCAGGACCGGCCCGAGGCTCAGGCACGCCGCAGATGGCAGCTACCACTGTGAGGGCCTGAGGCTCAGGAGGCCAGGGCCAGGCCGAGGCTCAGGCAGCCAGGGCGGCTGGCAATGCCAGCAGCAGAGGCGTGATGGGGGTGCCACCTTCTCCTGATTGGCTGGTCGCCTCCCGCAGAGGGAGGCCAGACTGCAGCTTAGGCCATCCCCTGAGGGCTCCTGGACTGTGAGAAGGGGCAGGCTGGGCTGAAGGACCTTCCCTCCCTCTGTGCACGAATTTTCATGCACCAGGCCTCTAGTACAATATAAACAAAGCCATAATTAAAATAGATTCACATTATCAAAGAAATAAAAGAAAATGATGAATGGAACAGAGTCAATAATCCCAAAATAGAAATCTAATGATATATTGGTATTAAACATATATTAAATATTACCTTTCACAGATGGGAGAAAATATGGGGACTTTAAAAATTGTTGAGACAAATGACAATCATTTAGGGAAAAAAACAGATGTGAGATAACCTGTTTCACAACATGACTAAAATTAAATACATTTCATTTGCATTAAGGAAATTTTAAAAAGTCCCATAAAGATAAATCATAAAGTTAAAGGGCAACCTATACAAAAGGCTTTCAAGACTATGGACTTGTTATATACAAAAAGCCTACAGAAGGTCTTTGGAGTTTTTGTCATGAGAGCACGACATGTGTGTGTGTTCGCCAAGAACTGTGGACCACTAACTGATTGTGCAGACAAGTCTTTAATCCCTCCACCCGAATGACTACTAAGTATATAAAAGCAAGTGCTATTTACTTTTATTATATATACCAAAGATTGGTTATAATATTTATTGCATTTATCGAATACCTCATAATTAGTCTGTTAATTTACCTTTTTAATTTCAATGAAAAGGACATGGTTTAAACATTTGTCCAATATTACTGTGTGTTGATAAATCTTGGAGTTTGAGTTAAGCTGGCGATTTCAGGGTTAGCTCTTTGGCTACAAAGATGGATTTTCTTGAACAACTGTACAGTTACTGTGGTTGGATAAAAAACGTAGACTATTGCTTTTTTGCTGGACAAGTACCAGCCTCATATCAATGTGTAATGGCCAGAATGTGCCTGGTGTTCCAAGTGGCTGTTTGCCAATTTGAAAGATTTCTGAAAAGAAAAGAGGCTATTGCACATTTTTCTTCTTTTTCTTTTTTTTAGTCACAGAAAAGTGTATGGTTTTTGGAGTAGGCCTTATAGAAAACAAAAAGAACTTTTTGCTGACAACCCACAGCAATTTTGTCTCCTGTAAGGTATCTTTTTCTTATTTTTCTAAACCTTTTGTCTTCTCAGTGCTATATTTGTGTGTTTGGGGCGGGAGGGTTGGGGGCGGTAATTCTGGCTAGAAAATTAGCTCCCACTTAGGAATAGCCAGCCACTATATAGTGGCCCCAAAGGCACTTAAGCAGCATTCCCATTTGCAGTTAGGTAACAAAAGGGCAGACAGGGGTTTGGATCAGAGCTATGGATGTAGCAAAGGCAGTTGAGATGAAGACAAAATGAAAATTTATAAAGCATCAAACAACACAAATTCCTTTTCAGGGTAAAATAAACAAACAAACAAAACAGTATACGACAATGCTTACGGCGCTCAGACTTTGGTGTTAAAGACCTGGAAGTTAAAATCCCATCAGCCTGCTATCGCTTGCTCTGTGACTGAGCCATTTATTCAATCTTGGTAACTTCTGTTTTTTCATTGGTAAATGAAGTGAATCATGCCATAGTGTTTTGAAGTGCTTGGTAGCATAAGACATATATATTGCTGAGCCCAACATATGGATATATTAGGCTTTAAAACACATACCAGTTGTTCTTTGTCACGATTATTGTCATCATTATTATTACTATTAAAAACAAACTCATAGAAATGAATACCATTAGTCATTATTTAAAATTGTCACTACACTTTTTAAGACCTTTTTGCCAGAGGATGTTTATACACACTGAAGAAGAACCTCCATAAAATAAGATTTCTAGTGGTGTCTGAGGATAAAGTATCATTTGTGTGAATTACCAAGTAGTAAACACTCAAGGATATATTATTCTGGCAAGTTATTTCCTTTTGTATAGAAACACTGCAGGATCTCAGATGCCTTGTAGTCATTAAAACAACATAAGTCCTCATTCCACTATGAAGACATTGAAGTACTAGTTAAAAATAATTATTTTTGTAATGCTACAAATTAAAAACGTTTGCTTTCCTTAAAAGTTCTTTATTTATTTAGAAAATATATTGGAAACAAGTCTTTGTACATAAGAATACCTGAGCAAAAATAACAAAGAAAATTTTTTTAAAATTATAGAGAAATCACACAGCGATACACACACTCACTCTGCACACACTACTCACACATACACTAGTATACAAGCTATGATTACAATTTTGTATGCATTCGCATGTGCATATGTCAAAAGACGAATCAAAAAACAACTGAGCAAGAGAGGTTAACTATTATTTTCCCAGAAATCACTGAACACATGCATCTGTAAATATCAAACCCTACTACTCTGATAAACCAGTTCTCCAAATTGAAATAATTGGGATTTCTTAATACTGACATATTCTGATAACAAATGCTAATTATGTTGAACACTATTAGGTATTGAAAATATAAAATATCATGATGTATACATTTGTCTTCAACAAAACTTATGACTTGGCCTTTTGTAACATGTTACCATTCCATTAACTTTGTTTCAGCCTGGGTGCTTACACTAGTTTTGGTAACTGGATTTTTGTCTGCTCTCTATTGCCTGAAAATCTGATTTGATGTGCTAACTTTTTCCCAAAGTGGGAAATGTTTAAATCAATAAAACTTCCTGGTATCCAGCATATGGTTGAAATAAAATCCTCTTCTGTTTAATAGTAACTTCCCTAGTTACCTACCTCCATAGATTCTCTGCTTTCCTCAGCTCCTGAGTCTGCAGTCCTGTCTTCGATGCTTATAGAGATCAACTCTGTTATCGGCTGCCAATATACCCTTATCTTCACTTGCTGTCTGCCCGACTGAATTTCCACACATTTCAGACATTTCTGTGACCACGTGTCACTTCACTCTAGGATTGTGACTGTCTGTTTTAATGTTCTAGATACCATTTCATGTTCAAGTTACTCTCATCGTATAAAAAGCCTTTCCTAACTCTGTTTTCCTGTCTAACTACTATCTATTCTCTCCCCTCTCTACATCATCCTGCCTTTCAACAAGGTAGACTACACATTCTCATCTCTATGGTAACCATATGTCCTGGGCTGGATAAGATCGTTCTGATGATATCTGTTTGCCTGCTGCAGTTGTTGCTAGCTCTCACTGTCACTTTTACACTGTTCTGATTTAGGTGGTCAATTTTATTCTCGCCCTACTCCTCAATGCACTCCATAAACCACTGTAGTGAGGGTCCTGCCCTCACTAGTATTTGGAACTTTGATCACTAAAGTCGCTAAAAATTCATATTTCCAGTGATAAACACCATTTCGGTCTTCATCCTACCGGATTCCCCTTCATTCGGCACCTTTACCATTCCCTCCTTCACAGACCTCTCATCTCCTGGAGTCCATGACTTCACATTATCCTCACGCTTCTACCCCTCTGTTCATTTGTTCTAGTTTCCCTTGACCACACTAATCCTTCCTCCTGTCTCTAAAATATTAATATTGCTCGAGACTCTTTTTGTCATCCCATCATTCTTATGCATATTTTCCTAAGATGACTCCAGCACATTCCTCATTCCCCTTACCACCCTAGGCAGAGGATTCCCGAATTAATATCCCAGCATGCTTCTCTCTTCCATCTTCCCCCCAACAAATTTTGTAAGACTATTTAACATACCTGTTCATGTCCTTTGAGTGATAATATGGTGCTGGGGTACTGATACAGTTTCATCACTAGTCTTCCTTTCTTCAGATTTAACACATTAAAAGTTGTCTTCTTACTAAAATGAAAGCATGTCATTCCTGCTTAAAATGTTTCAGTATGTTTTACATTTATTTCTGAAACACAAATTTTTATAATGGCAAGTAAGATTCTTTACTATAAAACCCTTGCTTACTTCTTCAGCCTTCTCTTATCTCCCCACATGTTTTACCTTAGATTTTGTCTGCTAATGCAGAGAACTGCTTATTTCTCACCATACACTCTGGCTTGTTACTGATCTCTATTAAGTCCTGCTATTCCTCCTTCCCGAATAGCTAGTCAAATAGCTAACACTTACTTATCCTTTAACATTAAGCCTGGACCTCACATACTCAAGAGCCATCCTGAGCTCTTCAGGATGAATTAGATGCATTTCCAAATCACCTTCTATCCAATCAACCCACAAGGTGTAATCACCCCCATGACTTTGTCCCAAAAATATTGTGCATGCATGATCATTAGCATGCTCATTATACTTTTTGTGTCTGTTTCTTTTTTAAAAAAATATATTTTTTATTGATTTCAGAGAGGAAGGTAGAGAAAGAGATAGAAACAACAAGGATGAGAGAGAATCATTGATTGGTTGCTTCCTGCCTGCACCCTAATGATGATTGAGCCCTCAACCTGGCACATGCTCTTGACCGGAATCGAACTCAGGACCCTTCAGTCCAAAGGCCCAATGCTCTATCCACTGAGCCAAACTGGCTAGGGCTCTGTGTCTGTTTTTTCAAAGAATATGAGAGTTCTTCCAGTGAGGTATCACATCTCTCTTTTCATTTTTTTTTCTTTTCCAACAGCATAGGACCTACCTTCTAATTATGAATTGAGATCAGTCTTCTATTCAGGCTAACGTATGCAATAGTGGCTCCAGCTGCAGCAGAAGCAACATAAAAATAAAATATGTTATTTCTTTCTTGAATATTATGAGAAATATAGAGAATCTGTAATATAAAAAATTCCCCCAAAGAAAATATTAAATTTGTTTCTGAAACCTCTAACTACATTTCAAGTTCTTTGGATCATGTTTCATTTAAAACTAAGAAAAATATGCAATTTTCATACATGAAGACCTGGCACAATATCAATTATGAGGACAGAATTTATAAAGTGATGATGGATTTGCACTCATGTAAGCCAATATAAAGGTAACTTGTCTTGATTTAATGTAGCCTAGAATTTAAGTTTTGGTCACATCTACAATGAATTTTGTGTTGGAAATGACTTTATATTTATTTTTCATAGTGTAACTTTCTACAAAATACTTTGTTATGCTTAAAAATGTTTTATACTGCAAGGACAAATATCAAACATTTTTAAAGATACTACTTTGGGTGAGGAATTTGGAGTTTGGATAAGGTGACTAAAATAATACATTGAAATGATTATGGCAACTTTTACTCCCTAGAAAGTAAAATGCCCTCAATTTATCAGCTATACTTCTTATTGGTTGCATGTAGTCATTTTTTCTTACAATGTTTGAAAGTAGTTTTATAATAAAGATAATTTTTTTAAATTTTTCATTTAAATTTGCATCTTGTAAGAAATCTACCATTGTCTTAGACATCATATGTGTGTGTGTGTGTGTGTGTGTGTGTGTGTGTAAAGTACACTAACTCAATATCTATCAGATACTTTGTGAAGTCTGAATTAATAAAGGAATTTTATATAATTTTCAGTGACAAACTGTCTTTTCTGTTAGAAATAAGTAAAGAGTGATTTAGATCCACATGACTATTCACTCCAATGCCTTATTATTAGTGTCTGAAGAATACCTAATATTAAAGCAATGGTATACACGCATATTTCTTTGCATTGTTTTGATCAATTATTAAAATACTAGAGGCCCGGTGCACAAAATTTGTGCACAGGGAAGGGGGGCGTCCCTCAGCCCAGCCTGCACCCTCTCCAATCCGGGACCCCTCGGGGGATGTCTGACTGCTAGTTAGGGCCTTAACTGGCAGTTGGACATCCCTCTCCCAATCCAGGACTGCTGGCTCCTAACCGCTTGCCTGCCTGCCTGCCTGCCTGATCGCCCATAACCACTTCTGCCTGCTGGCCTGATTGTTCCTAACTGCTCCCCTGCCAGCCTGATCACCCCTAACTCCTCCCCGCTGGCCTGATCTCACCCCTAAATGCTTGCTCCCCTGCTAACTGCTTGATCATCCCTAACCGCCTCTGCCTTGGCCCCCGCCACCGTGACTTTGTCCAGAAGGATGGAAAGACGTCTGGAAGATGTCCAGTCTATCTGGTCTAATTAGCATATTACCCTTTTATCAGTATAGATTTGGTAAATTCATGCCTCATTGTTTTACTAAACTATAAAATGTATATTAATTATTTAATATAAGTTGGGTATTTTAGACAGACTGAAGCAAGGAAATGGTAATTCAGCATAAAATAATTTCTTAGTAAAAATTGATTAACACCTATGAATTACTTGATTTGTATCACACTCTACCAGTTTTATTTAGCAGTGTATACGTGAATAGGTACCACCGGATAAGGAGCCCTGGGTAATTTAGGCTCCTGATACAACTTACGGATGCTGAGTGTTAGGTAAACAGTAACAAGTGAGGCTAACTGAGCACTAGAACACTTCTGTAACCCCTTGGACTACTTTAACCCTGACACCCATAACATTTTCTCCTTTAAAAGGATTGGAACAGGAAAAGGAGAGATAGTATTAGTTGTTTATTCATGAAATTTATGCTTGCTACTCACTTTAAGGAGTAGATGATTTAGGAAGTAGATGATTTCAACTTTCAGGATTATCAGTCATTTCCAATGACAACTGGATTTTTCAGTCGTTCAGGTTAAAAACCTTGGAGGCAGTCTTGATTCATTTTTTCACAAATCACTTATCTAAAACCAACTGCTCTACTTTCAGAATCAAATTTATAATCAAATTACCACATATCACCTCTACTGCTACCACTCAAGCCCAAACCAGCAAAAGCTCTTGCTTAGATTATTGCCATATCTTCTATCTCCACACTTGCCCCACCCTCTCCTGTCTTTCTTCATCACCACAGCCAGGGTTATCCTTTTAACACATAGTGTAGCTCATGACACTTCTGTGCCCAAAAGCTGTCTATCTTACTGAGTCACATAGTGACACACAAATTCCTTATAATGCTCTACAAGGCCTGTATCAGTTTTCTACTGCTGCATAAAACTTAGTGGGCTTAAAATCACACAATATTTCCTTGGGCCGGGTGTCTGGACACCAGCTTACCTGGGTTCTTTGTTTCAGATCTCACCAGGCTTGAAGAGGGCTATAGTCTCAGATCTGCTTCCAAGCTCCTGCAGGTTGTTGGCAGAGTTCACCTCTGGTTTGTTGCCCCTTGTGGACTGAGGTGGTTGTTTCCTCCTGGCTGTCAGAAGCGGGTCACTCTGAATTCCCAGAGGTCATCAGCTATTCCTTGTCATGTGACCCTATCCACAGGCCCTCTCCCAACAGAACAGCCTCTCCTCTAAGCCAACTACGAGGAGAATCTTTAGTGCAGTGGTTCTCAACTTTCCTAATGCCGCGACCCTTTAATTCAGTTCCTCATGTTGTGGTGACCCTCAACCATAAAATTATTTTCATTGCTACTTCATAACTGTAATTTTGCTACTGTTATGAATCATAATGTAAATATCTGATATGCAGGATGTATTTTCATTGTTACAAATTGAACATAATTAAAGCATAGTGATTAATCACAAAAACAATATGTAATTTTATATGTGTTTTCCGATGGTCTTAGGCGACCCCTGTGAAAGGGTCGCTCGATCCCCAACGGGGTCAGGACCCACAGGTTGAGAACCACTGCTTTAGTTTCTTTGTAATTTAACATAAATATATAATCGCACTGACAGCCCATTATCTTTGCATTTCTATAGTGAGAAGCAAGTGATGGGTCCTGCCAACACTCAAGGAGAGAGGGTTTATTCAGGACATGAATATGGAGGCCACCACAGGGTCTGTCCACCGCAAAGCCCTACACGAGATCCCCACTCACTGCTTCTCCGACTTCATCTCCCCCCACCCTTCCTCCTGCCAACTGTGCTCCAGGCAGTTTTGCCTACTTGCTGCTCCTTAACTCAACAAGCAAAGGACTGCTTCAGAGCCTTCATGCCCATGCTCCTCGCTGATGGAAAAGCTCTTTCTGAGGGAAGGGATCCACATGATGGGCACCTGTACTGCCTTTATGTGTGTCATCAAATGCAAGCTCATCGGGAAGGACAGCCCTGAGCACCCTGTAACATACAGCGCCCCCGTCCTCCACTCTGTATCCCCGAAATATGCTTCTTCAACTATGTCACCACTTGATATTTTATTTACTTTTAACTTGTTTGTTCTCTGTCTTTCTCTACAAATTCAATTCCTAGTGCCAGGAACAGAGCCTGCTGTGCATTTGTGGAGGAAGATTTCAACAAATACTAGGGTAAGTATACAATGAATAAATGGGTTATTTTCCTGCTTTTTTGAATAGGGACTGAATAGGATCAAAATAAAGATGTCATTTCTGAGAGAGAATATTGTTTCAACAAATAGTCTATAGACAAAAATCTTACCTTTAGTTATTTGATATCTGTTTGCATTGTCTGTGAGGTTTGTTTTTTTGTTTGCCATTTTCAATATACGTATATTTTTATTGACTTTAGAGGGGAAGGGAGAAGAGCGAGAAATAGAAACATCAATGATGAGAGTAAACCATCCATCGGCCGCCACCTGCACACCCCCACTGGGGATTGAGCTCGCAACCCCGGGCATGTGGTCTGTGGTTTTGATTGATACATTTAACTTTAGCTTCTATAAGTAGACTTATTCACTGTGCACATAAGCTGCTAGTAAGAGCCTTGCTGGAACGAAGGAGAGCAGGAGAACTACAGCTCTTGATGGAGACCTACTCACAAAACTTCACAGGAGTCCTTCTACAAGATAGGGATTTAACCAATCTTCACTGAAATAAATAGGACCTAAGCTAGCCTGTTATTTGCAGCTCTGCTGTCTGTGGTCTTCAGTCAGCAGGACGTGATACAAAGTGTTCACAGGTAGCTGTGGATTATTCTTACTTTTTAACACATTGATTATGAAACCATAGTTTGGTTATTAATATAGACCACTGCTTCAAAAACATTGTTATATTATTAAAAGTTTTGCTGTATTTTTTTCCATTAACTTGAATCCAATTCAAGTGGGGTTTTTTTAGTCTTAGATGTATAGCTGTTTTCATTTTCATGAAATCTGTAGCTCCTGAGAAAACACTATCATAGGCAAATATGCACATCCAAACAAATGAGACTCGGGGTTCCAAAGGGAAGGAATATTATGCTAATGAGGTAAAAAAATTCACTGTGTGCTTTGGCAATAATAAGGAATCCTGGAAGAAATAATTGGGATCAAGGTTATGAATACAGAAGAGATTAAATCAAACAATAAATTCAAGATGGGTCAAGATATTAGAATATGCTGCCAAAATATATTTCCTAGAGAAAATGAAGGTCTGTATCCATATGAAAATTAGCCATACAAAGGAATATAATAATACTAAAAAGGAGACATGATTATGAATTTGATTTAATTATAGCTTATATTGGAGACAACTTTCCATATGAGGAAAGGGGATGTGTGCTACATTTTTCTTCAGATTATTAAGAAAGGGAGAAAAGCAATTAACATTACAATAATTACAGCACAATCTTCTGATGATAGGGTTACTATAAGTAATCAACAAGACCCCTGATGTTCTGTTTAATTTAGTGCACTTCTCAAAATTGGCTTTTATGGAATAAAACCCAGTATACCATTTAAGTCTGTTCTGTGTGGGGAAAAAATAATCTAAACTTAATATTTTAAAGTTTTCACCTTGGGAAAAGGCACTG